ATAAACAAGAACCATGTCAACCACCACGACCTCTAGTACGGACGGCTGCCCCGGCCCCCACGACCACCACGATTACCACGGCCACCTCGAGAGCTATCATTATGGCCAGTGGGAAAAACGAGAGCTGAACGGTCGGGGGGGGGGGTAAGCTGCAGTCAATGCCAAAAAGGCCAATAGACAATGTAGCACACTATAAGCGTGAGGAAACCTCAAGTAGAGATGGTAGGCTGGAACTTCCTAAAATCTGAGAGCGAATAGACTCATATTCAGGTTTCAAACTCATCAGAAAACGAACATCATTCATATCCTCGTGCTGTTTCTGCCAAACTGTTGCATCAGTAGTGAAAGTGTGGTAGAGCTTCAATGCCTCACAAACTCTTTTAACATGAGAATAATAATCTGCAAGACTTAGATTTCCTTGGTTTAGACAAAAATGCTATTGACATACATCATATGCACGAGTAAAATTACCTGTTCTTGAATACATAATGACCAAGTGATCTCAAATTTCTTTGGCCGTGTCAAGATAAAATAAAGTGGAACTAATACTAGCCTTAATATTATTAAATAATAATGAAATAGTCTGAGCATCTGTCTGTTCTCACTGATCATATTCAGGAATGCCTTATTTGGGTTTAAGGTCTACTAAATATTTTTTAAAATCTTTACCTTTAAGAAATACTTGAACTAATTGTGACTACAAAATATAATTGGTCCCATTAAGCTTAGCAAAGGGCATGGGGCCGTTAAGGAGAACAACAAGAGACAAACTTGGTGGCAAAGGAGAAGTAACGGCAGATGGATCATCATTCTTGGGTTCCATAGTCATATGACAGAAAGAATATAGTTCAAGAGTGATACAGAGCTCACAACTAGCCACCCGAGCGTGATTTGAACTTAAAACAAGTCTCAAAACCAACCCAAAGTCACTTAAACGAGGTAAAACATATCTAAAACATGCTGAACAGCAGCCAAACCATGCGAAATAGACCTGAATTGGCCTAAGTTAGGCTGAACCAGAGATGAACCGGATAAGGAAGGGCTGGCAGTGGTGAACCGAAGGTGAACTGGCTGAATCAAGCGTGGACAGGACTGAACCAGGTGTACTCGCGCATGAACCGTGATGAACTTGGCCCAATAGTGCCTGAACAGGAGCCGAACCATGTAAAATTGCCTGAACTGGCCTAAGATAGGCTGAACCGGTCTATGATAGGCTGAACCGGCCTAAGGTAGGCTAAACTAGACTAAACTGGCTGGACTAATGCTGGTTTGGGTTGGGCTACCAACAGAATGGACTTGGGCTTAGACTTGGGTCGAACTAGGGTTATTGGACTTTAGACTTAATTTAAACCCGCAACCATGATAGATCTGATCCGACCCACATCGGTGTTGTCTTCTTCCCTGTGAGGGTTCCAAACGAAGCCCTTGCCTCCCATAGTGCCGCCCACAGTGTCACGACCAAATAGTGGCGATAACAGCGATCACAACGACCTCATCACTCCGGCAGCAACCAATGACGACAATGACAACAACCACTCCCGCAGTAACATAGGTCACTCTCACGTCACACCACATTGAGGATTAACATTTTCGACGACAGAAAAATAGTAGGAGAACAGTGGTAAACTCGCGACACCAATTTCGACAACCACTATTAGTAATCAATACCACCACCACAATACAACCACTTTGACTATCACCAATCACTTCTACCATTGATTGCAACAGGAAACAACAACTTAGGGAATGCATCATTTCATTGCAAACCCATCCAGTACGCTTGTAGAACCAATATAAGTGGGTGTGATAGAGATGAAGGAACAGAGAAGAAAAGAAAGAAGGGAAAAAAAAAAGGAAGATGATTAGTAGGAGATTAGACCTAATTGCTCTGATACCATGTTAAGTTTAGAGGAGAGACGCATTTAACATAATACAAGAGAGGCAAAGAAAGGTTTCAACATAGCCCGTCTTTCACTGTCAATCTTGTATTTATGGTCACTGAACAAGGATACAAAAGATAAGTAAACCCTTTATGTGGTATACATATTACAATAAGTGTAAACCCTAATTATATTATAGCAATATTCTCAACAGTCTCCATATTTCAATTCGGTTTGTTAGCCCGCATGCTGGTCCGTGTCGCATGTGAGGGAAAGAAGAGAGATCTCCAACATTGAAAAATTAATTAGACTCAAGGTTGATTTATATACTTAAATGGCCACTCTAGCCATTGCCAATTGATTGTGACTTGTATGCTCTATTGCATATGAATGTCTACCTATAAATATCGACCTATAAAGGACAACCCAATGTATATAAGACTCAAGTCATTGTAGAAATTGAAGAGGGTTAAATGTACACAACATTCTTTATGTATAGGAAGCTTGTTTCCCTTATTCATAGAAATGTATATTTGTGTGTTTGTGTATGATTGTTTACAATAAGGTTGGCAGCACTTGCCTAGGGCCCCACTTGTCTACACCCCACAAAATCATGAGATTAATTTTAAAAAAACAAATAGATTTAGGATTTGCATTGAAAATATGATTCTTTTAAATGTTTTGTCCCTCATTCAAACCCATCTTTGGAGTTGGACTATAGTCTAATATTTCTCAGACTAAGAAGCATGGACACGGATACGGGATACGGATACGACACAACACGGACACGCCGATACGATATTTATCAAAAAGTAGGACACGGACATGTTACAAAAAAATTATATTTTATATATAACATTATATAATTTATTGCAAATATAGTGATAATAATATACAATTCATAAAAAAATCAATATTTTATGATAAGAATACCTAATGTCTAGTCATCAATGTGAATTTTTAAACTAAAACATCCTCATTATGGTCAATAATCATCAATTTTTTTTTTGTAGACAATGTGTACCTAATATATAATTTAAATAATTACTCTCATTTTCTCAATTCCTCTTTTTTAAAACTTTTATGCATGTTTTGTTTTTATTATTATATTTGGAGTACAACTTTAATGTCTAGTATTAGTGATTATATTTTCTCAAATTTTTAAGATTTGTTAATCTCATTTCAACAAATGTCAATTGTTTAATATTAGAAACGTTCTAAAGAAGTGTCGGACACGTCATCAAAGAAGTGTCCGAAATTAAAAATTTATCATTTAATTATGGACATGGATAAAAGAGTATTGGACACGTGTCCGAGAGTGTTCGAAGAGTGTCGGTGTCCGACACGGATACGTCAGTCACGTTCTCGAGAGTGTCCGTGTTTCATAGTTCTCAGATGGTCATAGAAAAAGACTAAAATTTTGTTAGAACTACAAATTTCGTATGTCTTATGATTACAAAGGGGTTTTTTGACTTTCTTGGATAATTTTCCCCTAAATTTAATATCTCATCTATTTCTTTCTCGCTCTCTCAATTTCTCTATGTTAATTAATTACAAACTAATATATATTCAAATTTATAATATCTTCAACAAGTAAATCACACCAATTCTTTTACAAAACAATTGAGACTAGTCTCTCTTATTCTATCTTAGTTCCCAGCTTATTTTACCATTTTATTTTTTGAACTCTACATGTAAGTTAATTTAGATCTAAATATAATTATTTGTATAAGGTGCTGGGCTTCGTTATATAAATATTAGAAATACTAATCTAGATATGAGAAATTTCAACACAAAAGAGAAACAAATTAATTTAATCACAAAAAAAAAAAAAAAAAAAGGTTTAGAGCCCATCTCAAATTTTCACCCTCAGGCTCCAAGTATTATTGGGCTTGCCCGGGTTAGCAGCAGCACATAATCTATTACCCTACCCACCTATGATGAGATCTAAAGCCTGCCGCCTGCCTGTGCCTTCCTTATTTATGATGAACTATGACAAATTATAATAATAATGATAAGCTAAGAAAGGTCATGCATTCTAATGCATATTTGTAAAACAAAACCAAATGCAAAAGATCCTGGAAAAGAGAAGTTACTTTTTTATGCTTTCTGGATAGATGGTATCTGATCTCTGTTATTGGTTTTATCTGCGACAGCCATGGGCACATATGCCATACATGATTCTTTCTGCATTGTGGCTTTTTTGCTTCTTTATTGCACCTAGTAGTTCTCCACTTTCAAGGGGTTATATGTGGCACTACTCCTTCCATTGTTCCAAGGGTGGTCGAATGTACCATTTTATCAGACCAAAAGTACTTTTGAGAAAATGGACTGTTAAAATTCATAGGATAGGATAAATAAAAGCAGAGTAGCAAGCCTTTTGCCTGTGTTTCATGGCAGTAAAAGTGTGAAACAGAAATTTTGTTACCAAGTGCCAGCAATTTTAACCTAGGGATGATTTTAGACTAGGGAAGATGAGATGTTTCTTCAGCCAATATTGTAACAATGGGATGTCTCAGAAAATGTCTCCTGACACATTTTGTTGCCGGAAGACGATGTGAATATTAAGCTAATTTGTGCATTGAGTGTTGTACATGGTTCAAAGAGTTCTAGATGGCTTCCCCCAAATTTGAATCGATCGTAACCCCAATTGTACCTCTCAAACTGTTAATTAATTTCATATTCTAGTTTTCTTGAACATATAACCAGTTTGTGATTTCATATCTGCAGAGTTTTTGTGATGGTTGGTTTGTGGTTGTTGTAAATCTTTTACTTTGGAATTAGCAATTGTGTGTGTGGAATATATTGGTCTGGCTATCGGGTGTGAGTTCTTGACTGCATTTATGTGCTAATGTTCCGTGTTTTTCTGAGCGCATAAGATGTTAAATTTTCAATTTTATTTATTTCTGATCAGCAACATGTCTCAAACATGTATAGTCTTCAATTTTCATTAAGAGTAATATAATCTACTATCATCCCACCTCCCAGCCGTGGATATGCTTGTGCTTTCAAGGGGTTTACCACCTAGGAGCACATCTTTCCTTCATGATATTATATACTGCTGGATTTATGTGCATATTGACTGACTCTTCACCCTGACCTCTGGTCATTCTTTGAAACAGGGAATTCTCCAAGCATGGGGCGCTACGATCTTTTTGTGGTTTTCTGCTTATGGGCTTTGGCATGCTGTTTACATCCTGCTTCCTGCAATGGATTAGTTAGAATTGGTTTGAAGAAGCGGCCATTGGATCTTGATAGCATTAATGCTGCCAAAGCTGCAAGAATGCAAGGGAATTATGGAAAGATAGTGAAAGGCATGCGGCATAATTTGGGTGATTCAGATGTAGACTTAATTCCCCTGAAGAATTATTTGGATGCTCAATACTATGGAGAGATTAGTATCGGTTCACCCCCTCAGAATTTCACTGTCATATTTGACACTGGCAGTTCCAATCTCTGGGTTCCATCATCGAAATGTTATTTTTCTGTGAGTTCTTCATCTTATTCTGGGACATATTATAGGTCCTAGTTTACTATCACCTAATAATCAAAATTACATGCAGATCGCTTGCTGGTTCCATTCTAAGTACAAGGCGAGCCGGTCCAGTTCATATACGGAAATTGGTAAAGATATCATTTTGTTCTCTTCCTATTTTTATGATGTCAATTGATTAATGCTTAGTCTAGATCGGTATTGAGTTTGCTAGTTGTTTGACAAAACAAAGCTTGTGGCGTCTTGACTTTATTGTGACTTTCATCAGCAACTAATTATAATTGAATTTTGATTCAGGAACATCCTGTTCAATCCAGTATGGGTCTGGATCAATTTCTGGCTTCTTAAGTCAAGATAATGTTGAAGTTGGCGATCTTGTAGTCAAAGATCAGGTGAGTTCTTATTTGCTTTAGTTTTCTTTGAAGCAGGTTGTTGCCCTTCTGTCTTCACTATGGTGATGCATTCGTTATTGTACAGGTTTTCATTGAAGCTACACAAGAAGGAAGTCTAACATTCGTATTGGCACAGTTTGATGGGATACTTGGGCTCGGGTTCCAGGAAATCTCTGTTGGGGATGTGGTGCCAGTCTGGTATTATTTAATTGAAAATTAGTTGTTGACTTGTGTTTTGAATCACTAGTCAGTGGAATGCATTTGTCGAATGCACGCTATTCATCTATATTTCATTCTCTCTATTTCCTACCTTCCATTATCTGAAGTATACTGACTCCAATGGACATACAGGTACAATATGGTGGATCAAGGTCTTGTAAATGAGGAGGTGTTCTCTTTTTGGCTTAATCGGGATCTAGAGGCGAAGGAGGGAGGTGAGATTGTTTTTGGCGGTGTTGATCCAAAACACTTCAAGGGAAAGCATACCTATGTTCCTGTCACACAAAAGGGTTACTGGCAGGTGAGCTAAAATAAAAGATCAGAAGTTTCTAATGAAAATCCATTCAATTTTTTGGGAAAATACCATTAATTATATTTTTGTGTCTTGTTCTCAATCTGGTTGTTCAGTTTGAAATGGGCGATTTTCTTGTTGGGAACTATTCAACAGGTAATTTTTACAGCCTTTTAAATGAGGAAGAAATGTGTTTTTTCTGTTTTGGTGATATACATGGAAACCCTTGTTTTCCAACTAATTGTGTAGTCAATCACCCCGACCGAAAATGTGGGAAAAAATTGTGCACAGAAACTGGTTGAACCCTGCCTTGAGGTTGAATCTGGTGTGCATTGCTTTGTAAAACTATTAATGTTCAAAAGCCAACTACATTCATTTACTGCGAGTCTGAAAAACTTGACTGTGTTTTGAAATTTATAAGTTCGATTTTCTTTACCTTAAAGTTTTCTGTTTGTAGGTTTTTGTGAGGGGGGTTGTGCTGCTATTGTGGATTCTGGAACATCCTTGCTTGCTGGTCCAACTGTACGTTCTTCTACCTTTGTTTCATGAGCGGTTCTTTGTCTGAAGGATTCTTGGGAATTATTCATCATTTTCTGTTATTCTTTTTCCAAGACTATAGTCTGCTAATAAGTGTCCTAACTAGTCCATAAATTACAGACTGTTATCACTGAAATCAATCATGCCATCGGAGCAGAAGGAGTACTGAGTGCGGAATGTAAAGAAATGGTTACTCAATATGGGGACATGATATGGGATCTCTTAATATCGGGGGTTTGTGTTGTTTCCCTTACTCTTTTTACCCTTCTGTAAGTTTATTTGACTTGAGTTTAAAGAATATATTTAGAAGGTCCTTTCATGGTTTGCAGCTACAACCTGACAAAATATGTTCACAAATAGGTCTATGTACCTTCAATGGAGCTCAGTATGTGAGGTCAGGATACCGTTACTGATTTGTGATGCCCTAATTATCAATTTTCATCTTAAAATAAACTGTATTTCTGTTGAACATGCTTTCTTTTGGAGCACTTCCACGTACTAGTTATCAATGAACACCTTAAGTTGGGAACGGCTGTCTTGTAACCTTTGTTTCATGCGAATAAAAACTTTGGGATTCCACATAAACCAGTGTCTAGAGCATCCTGCAAATATGATCCAAGGATGTTCTTCTTACTTTCTTGTAACCATTTTTAATACCTGCGAACTCGATCAGTGTTGCCAAAAGTTATTTTTCATTTTCCTTTTTGAATTTTTTTATGTATATTATTTTGTCTATATTCCATAGAATGGCCAAACCTTGTGGTCTTTTACTTTGTAAACAACTTCTCAGGAATGTATGATTTTCAAATTCCCTTTATTTCTTTAGCAATTCTTTTTTTTTTTTAATAATTAATGTTATAAAAATCCCACATGGTTGGATAATATCTTTTTAAATGTCTTCCATTAATGGGTTTGCTATGCCATTCTCCCTTTAAAGACTGGAAGTTGTAAGCTTCACCTCTTAGTATTTTTCCTACTTTGAAAGGCTTCGCCTCAAGCCATATTCCTTGTCTTTACTTCCCAAAGGCAAGATGGTTTTCCACACCAAATCTCTTTTTGAAATACTTTTGGACTTAACTTTTTTATTATAAGTCATTTCTATCTTCTTTTTCTGTATTTAGATGTGGTTTAATGCTTTCATTTGATTCTCTTCCTTGTCCTCCAATTCAAGGAACATGGCTTGAGAATATGTTTCCGACGACACACCCTGGTACTCTTAACACCCTTTTTGATTTTACTGGTATCTCCATAGGTATCACAACATCATGCCCATACACCAATTCGAATGGTTTTGTTCCTGTGCTAGTCTTCTTTGAAGTTCTATATGCCCACAAAACATTTGACAATAATTCATGCCACTGCCTTGGGTTATCCTCTATAGTTTTTTTCTAGGATTGACTTCAATGTTTTGTTAGTGGATTCTGCTTGCCCATTGGCCTGAGCATAATAGGGTGATGAATTCAACTTCTGTATCCCGGAGGGGGGCAAAGGTGTCGGTTTAATGTAGATAAGTGTTGCACCAAGCCAAAGCCGAGCTGACAATTGAGTGGGATTCCTTGCAGTTCTCATATTGAAACAGTAGTTGAAAGGGAAGAGGAGGGAACTTCCGCCGGGGAAACTGTATTCTGTGCTGCTTGTGAGATGGCTGTTGTTTGGATGAAGAACCAGCTAAGGCAAGAGGCAACGAAGGAAGCAGTTCTAAGTTACGTGAATCAGGTAATATGTCAGCTGAGTTTATCTGCCGTTTAGAAGCCAAAAATGACACTGGAATTAAAAGCTAAATTTTCTTGTTTACTAGCTTTGTGAGAGCCTACCAAGTCCTATGGGAGAGTCAATGATTGACTGCAATAGCATTGCATCCATGCCAAATGTCACATTTACCATTGGAAATAAAGCTTTCAGCCTCACTCCAGAGCAGGTTTGGTTTGACTTTATTTTTGGCATGCCTTCTAATTTTTGTTCATGTTACTTTTTTCAGTTGTCATGTTTTGCACTCATTTAGCATACTCTCCTAATTTTTTTGATTCACTTATAGCATGAATATTTTTGCACTGAATCAGCTACATTTATGTTGATAAATTTGAGATTAGGAAGTTACTCAGCTCCAAGAGGATTTAGAAGTTTTTTGGTGTCAACTCCTATAATGTGTCACGAATTTGGAAAATGTAAAAATTATGAGTTTTGCAAATGAAATGGCAGCACCTGTTTCTACAATAAAATCGCGTATTATACTTGGCGGAAAAAACAAAACTGCTTCCCTGGTGCAAGGATTTTGCTAAGCTTGGACTTATGCTGAAGCTGAAACTTCTGCCACCTGAGTCAATGTCACATAGCTCTCTATGGTATCACATGTTACCACGTCAGTTTGGATGTATGGGAGATAGCCCTATTGGGCAGCATGAATGATTGAAGGTAACAATATAGGGAGTAGTCTTGTTTCTTTTAAGAGGTAACAAAGAAATAATCTGGTTGGCTAACTTATTATTGCCTTGATTTTAATAAGTCATAATTTAAGATTTATACATGATGGTCTTGCATTGATTTTCATTATTTGTACTCGTTCCTTTTTTCTGCACTTGCTTCCACAGTATATTCTTAAAACTGGAGAAGGCATTGCATCAATCTGCCTCAGTGGGTTTATTGCACTGGACGTGCCTCCTCCTCGAGGTCCTCTGTGGTACGTTGGTTTTACCAAAATCCATGTCGATTATATATTACAAGAGAAGTATCATATTAGTATGTCTGTATGATCAGCAGAGTCAATAAATTTTATGCTTCTCTGTCTTACGTACGGTTCTGTTTATGTCGTATTATGACGATGCATAATTATTTATGCCTGCAGGATCCTTGGAGATGTCTTCATGGGGGTGTATCATACAGTGTTTGATTATGGCAATCTCCAACTGGGTTTTGCTGAGGCTGCTTAGCAACCAATCTACTGGTCATCTTCTCTCAGAAAACCTATATTGTGATTTAATTCTGGTGATGGTTGGGTTGATCTGTACTATGCTTGCTAATACGAGTCTTATGAGATATGTATATATGGTGCATGAATGCATGTTATACTTCTACTTGTTCTAGAATGAAGCAGTTTCTTTGTAGAGTGGATATCATAATGTGATATTAGAATGTGGTCAAGCAGCGAGGATAAATGCTAGATGGTTCATGGTCATAAAAACATGTCTATCTTTTAGTAGCGTATTTGTGAAGGGGTTTTTTAAAGTAAGAAAATAATTTTGTCAAAAAAAATCAAATGATGTTTGATTGTTTTACAAAAGTGCTTAAATGCATCTTCTGATGAATTAGAAGTCCTGTATGAAAGGTTACGCTCGTGTGAAGACAGAATTAGACAGCTGGATAGAGTTGAAAAATGAGTAGCGTGGTTATTTTGGAGAAAGTGGACGATAATATTTACATTCATAAGAAGCGTTTGAGTAGAGGGGAAGAGTGTACTGCGGGTGGTTACTTGAAAAGAAATCAAGGTTATGATTAACCTTTTAGGAGAGGATACCAAATCTTTTCTTCTCCCTTTATTTAGAGTATAGATAATACCTTTGTGTATGTGTGTGTGTGTGTTTGTGTTGCTATAATGTGAATCTTGGAGGAAGACTGTGAACTAAATGTTACTTTAAAGAAAATTTTTTTTCAAAAATTGACAAAAAAATGTCACCAAATGATACTTTAAATTTATGCAAAGAAGATTGGAGTTATAAATCTTTATCCTTCACAAATAAGTTCTATGTAGCTTCTGAACTAATTTGGTGCATGAATTTAGGGATCAGCAGCACTACAATGCCTTATCTGTGATGTTGTTTATTCTGTATTCCTGTCATGGTGAATTTGAATCAGTGGAATCTTCATCATCATCTGCAATGGACATCAAGGTTGGTTCTTTATAATGGAAAACCGCTTGTTCTGCTCTTTCATTATCTTCCTTAGCCACCTTTGGAGCCCATACAGAATCTAAGCAAGGTCGAGAAACGCCGATAACAAAACAGAAGTCAAAACCACTCAAAACTTTCACTGCCCCTGCCCCTGCCCCCTTAAATTTAGACGATGGCTTGTGAACTTCATCAATGACATTTTTATGGGAAGGAAAGGTTCCTAGCATCATGCCATGTCAAATCAAACTGCCATAACTACCGAAACTGAGACACCATTGCCACCTTGAAACTGATTTTCAAACTTCATATGGTTTAACCATAGCATATCTTCATTCTTCTCCTCTGGGATGCCATAGAATGTTGGGCAATAAGTCCCACTTCAGACCCTTGGTTCTGTTATTGATTTTGATGGAGTGCACACCACCAAACCCATGATCCCAGGGAGGGCTTATCCCATACACAATACATAGATTCAGACCTCGGATCTTGCCATTTATATGTGAAAGGCACGTCAAAAGAAATAGAAGGTTTCATACTTTTAACCATTCTGGAACTGTGCTTCCGGGAAGAAAGATGATGCTAACTACACCACATTCATATTCATACACTACCTACAGGTAGGACCCCCGTGTATCATACGCATAAAATAGTTTATTATGATATGCTTATGAATTTGTTAATGTTAATGTTGAGGAATATATCCTTTGAATGTATAATTTTTGTTAAAAGTTGTAATTTTTTAATATGAATTTTTCGGAATCATTTCAAAATGGGGTCTAGATTTTGTCAGCTGAATATGTACAATATTTATTAAAAATATTTCACTATATTTTTAATTTAATTAGTTTTTGTATTTCTTTTTTTTTTTTGAGTTGGAAATTAATAACATCATTATAAATATTCTAAATTATTCAAATAATATTACTTAATTAGTTTTTGTATTTTTTTTTGTGTTGGAAATTAATGTTTGGTAGTATATTAATAACATCATTATAAATATTCTAAACTATATCAAATAATATTATTTAATTAGTTTTTGTATGAATATATCCTTTAAACAACGGGTCTGAAATAATTACGAGAGTCAAATCATGAAATTTTATCGCCAGAAAAAAAAAACGAAGTTGACTAACAATTGTCTAAACAACAAAAATATGATTAATAAGAGAGAATCATTCGTAACTTATTAGTTTCTGTCAACAAAAGTGATGGGAGAAAAAAGGCCGACAAACTTCTACGTTCTGTTGAGAGAAAGCAAGGTGCGAGAAGGAGATTGGGAGATGGATGGAGAAGATCGGTTGAGAGTTTGAGAAAAATATGAATGTGAGAATTTAAAAAGAGGATAAAAAAGTGGAAGAGACTTGGAGTTTAGAGAAAAATATGAGTGAGAGAATATAAAAAAAAGATATAGCAATGGAAATGGCATGGAGTTTAGGGGTATCCGCAGTTAGAGGGACTTTGTAGTTTGGCAGTTAGAGGATTTCTGTAGTTTGCTTGAGCTGGGTTTTTTTTTTTTTGCTGTTTGAGAGTTATCGAAAAATAGGAGAGAGAGAGAGTTTAAAAAGAGGATATGATAGGATATTGCAGTTAAAAGAAATAAAGTAACAGATAGAAGGAAATTAGGAGTGGGAAAGTTTAAAAAAGACGATAGGGTAGGATATTATAGTTAAAAGATAAAAGAGATAAAGTAGTAGGTGTAAGGATTCTATCTATTGTTTGTTTTAGTTGAAAATTTTTTGGGCTCGTTTGGAAGACGTATTATAAAGGGATTAAATATTGAATTACATTATTTTTTATTTAATCAAGCCTAATATTTTGTTTGGTAAGTAAATTTGAGTTTGTATTAATTTAAAAAATGTATACCAATTATATACTTATTGTATATTTTTTGAAATATATTTTAATACCACCAAAAAAAGTGGTATTATAATCCAGAACAATGTATTATTTTAAAAAATTATTATTATAACCCCCATAGCTAATAAAATCAAAAAGAGAGGAAAATAGAATGAGAGAATTAAAAAAGAGGATAAAATATTTTTTTAAATATCAAAAAATAAAAATTCTGCTATAAATAATAATAGTATTGGATGATTTCACTGGGGTTGTTGGTTCTTGGAATTAGTCAATCTAAAATGAGTGTAATGCTCAGGGGTGTCCATGAGTTGAGTTATTCATGGGTCCTGTTATTTGGTCAAAAAAACATAGATTCAAAACTTGATAGATCCAATAGTTAGCTCGTTCGAACTCAAGCTCAATATCCTTAAAAGAAGGATTTAAGTTTGCCTCCAAACCCATTATCTGACCCAATAGCCTGCTCCCTCGTCCACCCTTCTTTTAAAAAAAAGTTATATTTTTAAACCATTAAATTTAAAATTTTAAAAATTAGAAATTTAAAAATTAGATACTATAAATAATGTATTATTTTCTTTTCCATGTATTAAACATATGAGTTTTAAATGATAGAGTAATACAAATAATAGATAAGTAAATATGTATCAACCTAGTTGAAATGTATTCATTTTATTGGATGTAATTCATCCTTTAATAAAAAATAAAATTATTCAATATTTTATTTTCATCCATTTTGACTCTACTTATAATTCAAAAATATAATTTACACAAATATTAAGTAATAAAATATTCATTATTTTTAAATAAAATTTTATATAAAAGAGTCCACCAACATGCCAACCCAACACCTGCCCAACAGACTTGTGGATTGGACTGCGGATAACTTACCCATACCCAAAGTTTGGCCCAGCCCAGCCCACCCCACCCCACCTATAACTCACTTGAATAAGTACTTGGACTTATATTATCCAATCCGACCCAAAAAATATTTCACAGGCTTAACCCAGCCCGGCCCATGGACACCCCTTAGTAATGCTATATATCATTCGGATAATGTTCTTGCAAACTTGAACTTTGTATCAGGATAGTGTAATAACGATAGTTGAGCCTAGCCCGCAGGGCAATTCATGTCAGATTGATACTCCAAATTGTTTGGCAGTAACTATCCTTGGAAACCCCAAAAAAAACACTAAAGAAAGCCCGATATCCATATAAACTATAGCTTTCAAAACACTTGAAAAGAATTCACAAACATTTCTAATGTTAACACCAATGCCGGTACCAGGAAAAGATCTTAATTCTCAAGCCCCATACAAAATACATAAACTTAAGGGCACAGACAACAAATGAAGTACATGAACCTTGGAGAAAATAAAAGCATTCATCACAATACAATACTTCTCATGTATAATTTTCTGATGCCCACCTGGAGTGGTCGAACTTTCCTAATCCTCCCCGCTATCATTGCCGAAAACTGAGGCAACAGGTACTTTTTGCTTCTTTGCAGCATTACCAACTGAATTCTGCTACATGAAGAAATCAGGCATATCAGAAGGAAGTTGCAATATCCCCAGCCAAAGCTAACTATTACATGAATCCACTTCGATAATCTAGAAATTCATATGGAAAGAAATACTGGTTAAAAGAACCGGAAAGCAGAGTCAGATGATCATGGGCTCGCAAGTTGTGAAGCTACGAAAAAGCTTATTAACAAACATCCTGCAAATTTTTTCTAGTTATAATAGACTACTAGAGAGGGAAGTAAACTAGCCACTTTCCTGTATTCTAACGTTTCAGCTACAAATTGCAAAATTTCCAGTGGAACACAGAAATGATAATACAGATTAGTCCCTCTTTTCCAGCATATTCTCAAAATGCATTCCTACACACATTAAGTGACATCTACAAGTTTCTTTCACCAAAACTATTAGTCCAACAGAATAGAGGCTGCCTGAACATCTCCCAGTTGCGGCTGTTGCCATTTCTTTTTCCGGTGAGTGTCTGTTGCCATATTGACATAACATGAACATACAAAGTATATAGGAGCAAGAAAAACTAAGAAACTGCTAAGTATTCTATAGAACTTCCTGAGATCATAGATAGGCATTCCCATGTCCTTAAATGTGATATTGTTTCATTCTATTCATATTTCATACACAAATATCATAATACAAATTACATTGTCATCTATGTTGGCCTTGCTCTCTTTCTGGCATCAACTCCCTCGCCAATAGCCAAAAAGCTCAACCACTGACCTTAGCATGATTGACAGCACTCAAAACAGGAAAAAAAAAAATGACCCAGTTTTATGTGGCCAAATAAAGCACCACAAGGTGATTAACTATGTACACCCCAAAAAATGGGAAAAGAATGTTGAGATTTTCTCCTCCGGCTGCTTTGATATGAAATATCAATTCAAAGGCATTTCCACCTCAGTCCCAAATTGACAATAGCCAGATCACTTTGAAGATGCAGTCCACTTGAAAAAAGACACCTTCGAAAAAAAAACTATCGCACACCATATGCCCTACCATAGAAATGCTGCCACC